GTGAGTGGAGGGGGAGTGAGGAAAGGGGAGTGGGTAGAGGGAGAGCGGGTGTGAGGGAATGAGGGGGAGGGGTTGTTGGGGAGTGGGAGTGAGTGGAGGGGGATGGGCAAAATGCCAGCCGCCCCCTCCCCCCACCAACATTATTTGTGACGGGAGTCACATGTTGAGGGAGGGGGCAGGCAGTCTCGAGGAGGGTCCTGTGAAATGGATTCTCTTTCCCTGCGGCCTATCGGAAAGGCTGTCGGGTTTGTTTCGTTTGGAAACTTTTACTGACTTCAATTTCCTAATTTTGCGAATATGGGGATGTGGGCGATCATGGGAATGGGGGTGTCCAGTCCACAAGGCTGTCTGTTACCAAGATTCCCATCAATCGAAGGCCAGGAGATAGTGTCTGTCGGCAGCAACCTCAGATCTCTGTCTCCCGACACCATCATCCAAGTGGGCTCCATGATCTTATGGAAAGGAGGAGCAGAATCGAGGGACCAAATGGCCTATTTCTGCTCCTGTTTCTTGTGCTCCTGTGTAACAGTGAGACTTCCTGGAGACTCCATCCATGATTGGCTCATCCTTCAGACACATCGCCTCTCCTCAGCCTATCAAAAAGAAGGGAGGGTCTTTGTTTGAGAGATACTAGGAACTGCCGATGCTGGAGAATCTGAGATAACGAGGTGTAGAGCTGGAGCAGGCCAAGCAGCATCAGAGGAGCAGGAAGAAGGGTCTAGGCCCAAAACATCAGCCTTCCTGCTCCTCTGATGCTGCTTGGCCTGCTCCAGCTCTACACCTTGTTATCTCAGGGTCTTTGTTTGGCCTGGTTCGATTCCGAGTGAGGACAGGGAGGCAGCAGTTATTTCCTCATTCCTCATTGGTTTTATAACTAATAACAAACGTGCTTAAAGAAAATGGACAAACAGTGTCCTGGAGATGAACCTGGAGACTCCAGGGTAACTCTGGAGGAGTTGGCAAATCCCTACGGATGTGTGGTAGCTCTCCATAAGACTGTATACTAGCACACAAGTCAGGAGTGCAATGGAATACTCCCCACTTGCCCTGGATGGGGGCAGCTCCAACAACACTCAACAAGCTCGACACCATCCAGGACAAAGCAGCCCCCGCTTGATTGGCACCACATTCACAAACATCCCACTCCCTCCCCCACCGACGCTCAGTAGCAGCAGTGTGTACCATCTACAAGATAAACTGGAAATTTACCAAAGATCTTAATTTAGAACCTTTCATCGCCGCTTTCTCTAGGACAATTGGAGATGGGCAGCAGCGTTGCCAGTGAGGCTGGTATCTAACAAATGAATAAATATCAATTAAAGGTCATAAGTAAAATCAAAAGTATTTGTAATGTTGCAACAGGTTAATGTTAGGAAGGACGATGTGCTAGAAATTTTGAAAAACATGAGGATAGTTAAGTCCCCTGGGTCAGATAGGCTATACCCAAGGTTACTACAGGAAGCAAGGGAAGAGATTGCTGCACCTTTGGTGATGATCTTTGTATCCTCACTGTCCACTGGAGTAATACCAGATGGTTGGAGGGTGGCAAATGTTATTCCTTTGTTCAAGAAAGGGAATAGGGATAATCCTGGGAATTACAAACCAGTCAGTCTTACTTCTGTGGTGGGGAAATTATTGGAGAGGATTCTGTGAGATCGTATTTATGATTATTTGGAAAAGCACAGTTTGATTAGAAATAGTCAGCATGGCTTTGTGAGGGGCAGGTCATGCCTCACAAGCCTTATTGAATTCTTTCAGGATGTGACAAACACATTGATGAAGGTAGAGCAGTGGATGTGGTGTATATGGATTTTAGCAAGGCATTTGATAAGGTTCCCCATGATAGGCTCATTCAGAAAGTAAGGAGGCATGGGATTCAAGGAAATTTGGCTGTTTGAATACAGAATTGGCTATCCAATAGAAGATAGAGGGTGGTAGTAGATGGAAAGTATTCAGCCTGGAGCTTGGTGATCAGTGGTGTTCCTCAGGGATCTGTTCTGGGACCCCTGCTCTTTGTGATCTTTATAAATGACTTGAATGAGGAAGTGGAAGGGTGGGTTAGTAAGTTTGCTGATGACACCAAGGTTGGTGGTGTTGTGGATAGTGTGGAGGGCTGTTGTAGGTTGCAACGGGACATTGACAGGATGCAGAGCTGGGTAAAGAAGTGGCAGATGGAATTCAACCCAGAAAAGTGTGAAGTGATTCATTTTGGAAGGTCGAATTTGAATGCAGAATACAGGGTTAATGGCAGGATTCTTGGCAGTGTGGAGCAACAGAGGGATCTTGGGGTCCACGTCCATAGATCCCTCAAAGTTGCTACCCAAGTTGATAGGGTTGTTAAGAAGGCGTATGGCGTGTTGGCTTTCATTGGCATGGGAATTGAGTTTAAGAGCCGCGAGGTTATGCTGCAGATGTATAAAACCCTGGTTAGACCACACTTGGAATGTTGTGTTCAGTTCTGGTTGCCTCATTATAGGAATGATGTGGAAGCTTTAGAGAGGGTGCAGAGGAGATTTACCAGGATGCTGCCTGGACTGGAGGGCAGGTCTTATGAGCAAAGGTTGAGGGAGCTAGGACTTTTCTCATTGGAGTGAAGAAGGATGAGAGTTGACTTGATAGAGGTGTACAAGATGATGAGAGGCATAGATAGAGCGGATAGCCAGAGACTTTTTCCAAGGGCGGAAATGACTATCACAAGGGAGCATAATTTTAAGGTGATTGGAGGAAGGTATAAGAGAGATGTCAGGGATAGGTTCTTTACATAGAGAGTGGTAGGTGCATGGAATGCACTGCCAGCGGTGGTAGTAGAGTCAGATACATTAGGGACATTTAAGCGACTCTTGGATAGGCACATGGATGATAGTGAAATGTAGGGTGTGCCAGGTAGTTTGATCTTGGAGTAGGATAATAGGTTGGCACAACAACGTGGGCCGAAGGGCCTGTACTGTGCTGTACTGTTCTATGTTCTATGTTCTATGTTCCAAACCCACGACCACTTCCATCTAGAAGGACAAGGGCAGCAGATACATTGGAACACCACCCCCTGCAAGTTCCCCTCCAAGTCACTCACCATCCTGACTTGGAAATATATCGCCGTTCCTTCAGTGTCGCTGGGTCAGAATCCTGGAATTCCCTCCCTAAGGGCATTGTGGATCAACCCACAGCACATGGACTGCAGCGGTTCAAGAAGGCAGCTCACCCCCACCTTCTCAAGGGGCAACTAGGGACGGGCAGTAAATGCTGGGCCCAGCCAGAGACACCCACATTGCTCGAATTAAAAATAAGATATGAGCAAAAATAGGCCATTCAGCCCATCAAATCTGCTCTGGCATTCAATGAGATCATGGCCAATCTAATAATCCTCAACTCCACTTCCTTATCTTTTCTCCATCATCCTCAATTCCCTTACAAATTAAAACAAAAATCTCAGCCCTGAATACATTTAATGACCCAGCCTCTGCAGCCCTCTGTGGTGTAGAATGCCCCAGACTCAGTGCCCTCTGAGAGGAGAAATGGATAGCAGGGGAATGCCAGCTGCTGCAGGATTTGGCCTGGCTCCTGTTCAGTCAGGCTCGGAGTCAGAAACTCCTCAAAGTTCCCGCTCCAAGCTCTCCATCGTCTTCCCTCTCAATGTGTGGAGTCAGTCTGTTGGGAAGGGTGTTCACATCATCTAGTGACCATGCTGGGAACTGCATGTAATCTGAACGTTGGGAGGGTTAACCCAACAGGAGCAGGCACCTCTTTCTCTGGATCAGAAAACAAGTGACTCTGTCCCAGACTAAAGCCGTCGGCACCTTGCACTTTAGGTGCCATACTGGGCCGTTTCCCCCAGGGCTGGGATAAACTGAGCCAGCGAGCTGATGGAATCCTAGATAACAAGGTGCAGGGCTGGATGAACACAGCAGGCCAAGCAGCATCATAGGAGCAGAAAGGCTGACGTTTCGGGCCTAGACCCTTCATCAGAAATGGGGGAGGGGAAGGGGATTCCGAAATAAATAGGGAGAGAGTGGGAGGCGGATAGAAGATGGATAGAGGAGAGGATAGGTGGAGAGGAAACAAACAGGTCGAAGAGGCGGGGATGGAGCCAGTAAAGGTGAGTGTAGGTGGGGAGTTAGGGAGGGGATAGGTCAGTCCAGGGAGGACGGACAGGTCACGGGGCGGGATGAGGTTAGTCGGTAGGAGATGGGGGTGGGGCTTGAGGTGGGAGGAGGGGATAGGTGGGAGGAAGAACAGGTTAGGGAGGCCGGGTGGAATCGTCACTCCTTCCTGGCTCTCTCTTGTGTTTATTTGGGTGTTTCATTGAATCTCTCTCTCCCTCTGCGTGTGAGACGAGGCCGCTCTGTGTCAGCTGCCACGGAAGCCCATGTTGAAAATCTGAGGCTAGTGTCCAGCTGCCTCATCCCCTCCCTGTCCCTATTTGGAAAGAAAGATACAAGATTTCAAAATCAAAACCTTGCTTGACGAGGGGTCGGTGCAACCAATGGAATGGGACCCCCTGGGATTCATTCCTGTTGTTTTAATGGTATTATTCAATATTGTAATGTCATTTTGTACCGTTACATCTTTGTCGTTGATTATATTTAAGTTTTATATTGTATGTCAGAATATGTTGTTGCATGTTATTAATTCAGG